GTTGTTTCTTTCTAGGAGGAAACTGTTGTCTTTTAGTGTGTTTGTCGGCCGGTCGATAGCGTAGTACATAAACTCATTTTCTGATACTGTTAATCAGAAAATGTGTTTGTGTATTACTCTAGTTGCTACCGTAGAACATAAACTCATTTTCTACTGAAAATAAGCAGAAAATGAGTTTATGTGTTACGCTAGAAATTTCATGTTTTACTTTGAACCATGGCGCGCGTTTCAGTCTTTTTAGTCTTTCCGTTGAAAATACTTAAGATTCCAAATTCCATGAAAGACTGGCATCGAGCCGGCAATTCTCAGTCTGTCCGTTGAATGTCTTGATTCCCGTTATTCTAGATCCCTAGATTTAGAGTTTTAGAGATTTAGAATAACGGGAATGACCCAATCCAAGAACAACAACCTACTGAATGGCCTTCGTACTACTAGTACTAGTAGTATTAGTAGTACCAGACCTAATTTTCACTTAGATGGAAAAAGTTCAGTATTTTGTATTTTTGCTATTTTTTTATCACAAGAGGAGTCCCCGCCCTAGAGGTACGTATGTACTCGTACGCTAGACCTCACCCGTTGGTATATTGTAAAATGAATATCATCGATTCAACACTTATCGTCGAACTCTGCGGAAATTAAGGTCATTAATAATAATTGTGTCGTCATTAAAAATGTCAGGATAGAATTGTCGCCAAAATAAAGACATTGCGCCTATCTATTTCAGAATTCCAAGAACTTCCTTCACAATCTCGTAATTTTCTACGTGGTTGGAAGTGAAGGGGAAGAAGTCAATCAACCTTAACAAGAACGTTATTGTACGGTTCGGGTGGCAGTACTCGTGCGAACTCGACGGAGATTCCCCATCTTCTCCTGTCGCAACATTTGAAATAACAACGATTGCCTATTGCATACTGATACGGCCTGCGAATAGTGAGACAAGCGGGCGACTAGAGACAAACAGTTTCCAGAGTCACTGGAAATTCGAGAAAGATAGATACATACTGTAGTTATAGAAGACGTCTGCCGATTTCAAACTCGACCATCGGTCAATCGTTAATCGTGAAAACTATTTGGGTGAAATTGAATCGAAGCGGCACGTTCTTCACCAAGCGTAGCGTGACGCGGGGTAGGATACTGAGTCCATCGGCCCTGGCGTCCATCTGGATTTGTTTGCCGTTGAAACCCTCATCAGCATCGCAAAGACTGCCGTCGACATCCATCAAACTGTACCAAATACAACAAAACGAACGATGACTTCCAGAAAAGGACCAAGGAGAAAGGGATCATCGTCGTCCAACAAAACCGACAACATTTCCCTGAGCAGTCGCAGCGACTCCTCGTCCCATAAATCAGAAGTAGCCGCTTCGCTGAGTAAAATACTGCTAGACAACTCGGAGGAGGACGACGACTTTCTCTCAGGTGCTAGGTTTCCGAAAAAGGCTCCGCAAAGGAAAACGACGTCGAAATCGAAATTTCCGAAAGTTAAGACCGCTATTGAAGGGGATGAAGCCTCCGTGAAGAGTGCCCTACCACGTCAATCGTCTCGCAGCCCAAAATCACGGAGGAATAAATCTGCCCCGTCAGTGGCTGGCGAAACGCCGAAACGTAGGGTTTCCAGGAATCCAAGAACTGCCCCCGGCATCGCATTGCCGGTACACGACGAACATGATGGAACCTATGGTGAGTGTACACTAAACGACGAGGAAAAGGAACCATCCGCATCTCCGCTTGCCCTGTCCGCGCAAAACATCAAGGGGAGCGCGAAGAAATTGTTCGACAAGGCTGTTCGGGCAGCGAGCCCGACCAGCTTGAGACGGCCCCGTTCCAAGAGCGCGGGGCGCCAATCAAACAATGCCAATCGCGACTCTGAGATCGCATGCCCAAAGCGCCAGCCCAGCCCAGGTCGTCTCAAGAAACATACTGGAGAGCTCGACACGAGCAGAGGAGATAGAAGCACTTCTTCGAAAAGTCGATCACAGAGTCCCGGGAGGCTGAAGAAACGGGCCGAGAGCCCTGGAAGCCTGAGGAGGCGAGCTGCTAGTCCTGGAAGATTTAGAAAGTGGACCGAGGGCCCTGGAGCATTGAAAAAACCAACAGAGAGCTCTGAGAGCCAAAAGAAACGGGCCGAGAGTCCTGGGAAGTTGAAGAAACAGGCCGAAAGCACCGGAAACACGAAGAATCGAACTGTGAGTCCAGGAAGGTTGAAAAAGCGAGCCCAGAGTCCCGGGAGGTTAAGAAAGCGGTCCCAGAGTCCCGGAAGATTGCGGAAACGAGCCGAGAGTCCTGGGCGACTTAACAGGAACGCGAGGAGAATGGCACGAAAAGAACAATCCGAAAATTCAAGTAACTGCGAAAGTGGTGACGGCAAGCTCGGAGCGATGCTAGACCGAGATGCCAAAGAAAAATCAAGGAAAAGAGAAACCAGAAGTATTGCGAGTGGCTCTTCAAGAAGAAGTTCATCGGCGGGACCGCTGAGAAAGCCCCGATCATCCCGATCCTCCAGGAGTGGAAAATCAAAAACTACAGAAGAACCCGGAGACAAAATTCCGTCCAAGCCTAGGCAGTCTCATCGAGCTCCCAGTATCAGTGAAGAAGATGATGCACCTCCTAAGGCGCAACCCAGCTATTCTAATATGAAAGACGAGCTACAGAAACACAAAGTTAAAAGAAATAGGAGCATGGATCCGACCATGGCTCTAGCCCTGCAGAAACAAATGATTCTTAAAAGCGAAGAAGAGAAGGAACAAAGTGAACGAACGAGAGCCCCCGTTAGACGAGCCGCAAGCATGATTTTGACCCGTGAAATGGGGCGGAGAGGCAATCAAGAATCCTCCATCGATCTAATTCAGTACAAAGAAGAGGAAATACACAGTACTTCTTATTTTGCGAGCAACCATGTCTTGATAAATCGAGAGCGTATGAAACGAGGACTCCGACCTCTCACCCGGAATGTAGCGATGGATCAGTTGGCGAGGAAGAATGCTGAGGCAATGGCCAAATCGAAAAAATGCAAGTGCCTCGAAACTACATACGTAGGGAATGTGATTCGTGGTGAGTCGATTCGATCGATTCATCAATCGGTAATGCTTCAAAAGCAGGGGCGAGAACGAGCAAACATATTGAATCCATATTTCCAAGACTTTGGAGTTGGCACCTCAAAAAGTGAAGATGGAGAACTGTACATGTGCCAACTATTCAGCGAACGCTTGGAACTGCCACTCACGGATACTCTTGAAGATAAGACTGAACAGACAGCACCATGAAACCATTTTTTACAGAAGACAGGAGGATGGAAAACAAAGATGAAGTGCTTCATTGGGGTAATTCATGGTATGTGGGGTTCTCTGTCGTGTTTTGTGGGATATCTAATCATAAATATTGTCTACTGTGTGAACAAAATATAATGAGAAGTATGATATTGCCAATTGGCGCAAATCCAAAAACCATTGCAAGATAATATTGATTTCAAACGCTTAAATTATGACTGTCTATGAATGTAGAAACAAAATTCCGCTGTTGATCATGATATGTTTTCCCTGATGGTTTCATCTGAAGAGAAAAGGTAATGAAGTGAAGTAGGAAGAAGAAGCATAATTGCAGTATTCAACAGCACGGAACAAGCCACAAGAAGACCAATATTACAGCACTGTTGTTCCTACATAGGTGCTGGTTGATTCCCAATAGCATTGATCTACTCGAGAGTGACATAAAGTGGGGCTGGCTCACACAAAACATGTCTTCAAATATATAAATAGTGGTTGTAAATAAAGAGCCGCAGTATTACAATTGGATATGTAATCCCATTCATACTATTTCAGTTGGAATCCATGAATAAAACAATTTTTGGTATCACAAGTGAGGGCCCCCAAAACCACAGCAGGAAGTGACCCAACCAATCTTGTACAGAGTGATCAGAATATTTATCTCAAGAAAAATGTTTGAAGCAGAGGAGTACAGAGATATTCAAAGATAATAGGGATTACTAGACAGTAAGACTCTTTTTGAATACTTGAGATAGTAATTGTTTTTTTTTGGGGCTGTTATCTTGTGATTGGAAGAAAGGGAAAACATTGATGACCAAAAAATGGACCTTAAGATTGTTGGTTGTCAAACTTCTTATGCTACAAAATGTGTGATGTGAGATCATATTCCATAGATAAGTGCCCTGAGAATTGTGTTTGTGCTACTAGTACACAAAGTAGTACATGAAAAAAATTCATTTTATGGCAACAAGAAAAGTGTCACAACATAATATTGGTAACATCTGAATATAGTGTCGTGACGTTTTGGTCATTTGACCCCAAAGAACACCAGTTCAAGAATGAGCTAACCACCACAGCAGCTCCAGAAAGGCCTCTACTATTGGCAGCAGCAGCAGTAGTAGTAATGACTTTCCATTTGGGTATATGCTTGTTGGTCATAATACTACTATTAGGAATAGTGTTGGTGTGTGTCTTTGCCACACAATCATACTAGGCCAGGGACAGCCAGCAGCACATTTTTTCTTTGTCACATTGTTGTGAGAGGACAGCCACCAGCCTCTCCTGGTGTGTTGTAAAACAGACCAGGAGAACTTTAGTATCAAGAAGAAACAACTCCAGTAGACCACCAGGCTAGTAGTATTATTAAGTGCCCAGTCCAAGTTGACACAATCACCTCCTAGTAAAAGCTGCTGTTCTTGTCTTTGAAAAGCCAAAGGATGCGCTACTAGTACTAGTTGAGGCTTAGAACTAGCTACGTCACACAAACCGGATCTATGGTATTGCGCGTTTCACGCGGTTNGAAACAACAACATCGTGACTGGAAGCTTCTTCTGGTCCATAAAATACTAGAACTACATGGAAATGCTGGGGAATCTGCATTAGAGTATGTGTGTAGCATATACTCCAGGCTTGATTCCTCAATAGGATTGAATACTGGTGCTGGGGTTGTTGTTGTTGCTTTCTGGCACAAATATCGGAAACAGCAACAACCTGACCGGAAAACTCTTCCGGTCCGTAAAATACTGGTGGAACTGCATGGAGATGAAGATGCTGGGGAGTCTTCTTTAAAACTGAGTATGATGTAGCATATACTCCAGGCATTGTTCTTCAAAGGATTGGTCTTGGTTGAATACTGGGGGCTGGGGATGGTGTTGCTGCTGCCTGGCATGGATACCAGAAACAACAACATTGTGACCAGAAGCTTCTTCTGGTCCGTAAAATACTGGAACTGCATGGAAATGCTGGGGAATCTGCATTAGAGTATGTGTGTAGCATATACTCCAGGCTTGATTCCTCAATAGGATTGAATGCTGGGGCTGGGGTTGTTGTTGCATTCTGGCACGAATGTTGGAAACAACAACAACCTGACTGGAAAACTCTCCCGGTCCGTAAAATACTGGTGGAACTGCATGGAGATGGAGATGCTGGGGAGTCTTCTTTAAAACTGAGTATGATGTAGCATACACTCCAGGCTGTGTTCTTCAAAGGATTGGTCTTGGTTGAATACTGGGGGTTGGGGTTGGTGTTATTGCTTTYYAGCACAAATGTTGGAAACAACAACAACCAGACCAGAAAACTCTTCCGGTCCGTGAAATACTGGAACTGCATGGAGATGCTAGGGAATCTTCTTTAAAACTGAATATGTGAGTATGTGTAGCATACATTACAGGCTTTGTTCTTGAAAGGATTGGTCTTGGTTGAATAATGGGGGCTGGGGTTGGTGTTATTGATTCTGGCATGAATGTYGGAAACAACAACAACCAKACCGGAAAACTCTTCCGGTCCGYGAAATACTGGAACTGCATGGAGATGCTGGGGAATCTTCTTTAAACTGAATATGTGAGTATGTGTAGCATTCACTCCAGGCTTTGTTCTTGAAAGGATTGGTCTTGGTTGAATAATGGGGGCTGGGGATGTTGTTGCTGTTGTCTGGCATGGATGCTGGGAACAACTTCAACCCAGAAGATACCATAAGGTGCTTCTGGAGGGACAGGGGATGGATCCAGCTGGGGAAACCGCCACCAGCTGGTGGGGGATATCAATATACTTGGAATAGTCTTGGTTACATTGCTTGGTTGCCTCTTCAATGGAGCCAGGGAGGTGGATTTTCCCCTTTGGAAGGGGATGTCACCATGGTGTTCAGATGCCCGAAGGTGCTGTTCAAGTAGGAATGTACGTAGGAATCAGTAGGAATTCTAGGTGATAATTTTCATAACCGAAGTGTAATTTYGTGCGTTTGAAAAAATTCRTTCTGAAAATTATAACTTGCTCCCAAAGCAAAGACCTATAGTTTGAACATCACTCCATTTGTTCCTTTGAACTTCCCCCCTCAAGTCCAAAATCACTACAAGCTCAACGTAATGCAGTACAAATATCATACTAATGATACACTCACTGACATTCTTGATACTTTGGTACAACCACCTGCACTTTATCAATACCATAGAGACCCCCAAAACYCATCAGYCAGTTTTGTTACTCGTGACTGTTCCTACTTTGTTCTTGTTGATCTTGGACTGCAAAGTGAAAAGAACTTCCGAACTACAGTCAACAAAATTACGGGCGACACAGCACATGAACTCTACAATTGGTACTGGTACATGTGCTTCACAGCTCATTGTTCTCGCTTCGGTGAATATTGCCATCCTTATCCTTGTTTTTGTCAAAAATSCAACCACCCACATGGCTTTACCCTAGGCATGGATCAACAAGATGACCTTCATCCAACCTTTGAAACAAAAATATCAACTGATTTGCGAATCATCTGGGATGTCCTTCACACTGTTTTCACSTCCAAGGACAAATTCCGCCACATCATTGAACTACACAATGGACATGGATATGAAGCCCTAAAAGCAATCATCTGCAACACACATCTGCTCTTAATTGAATCTCCATCCATGTTAGTCACAACRCGTCCTACTCAAKGATCACTCTCCCTCATGGAATACTGGAAGAAATACAACCACTACATCATGCTTTRCGCCTTAATTGAAGACAACAAACAAACTGTGTATGACAGAAATGAACTCAAACACTTCATAAACGGATGTACTCATTCCTAGTTCCTCCAAACAGAAATAAGTCACAAACAAGATTTTAATCACCTCAAACACAGGTTCAAACCATCCAACTTTGTTGCTACCCTCCAACAGTATCTGAACTTTCCAAACAGTCCAAGGAAAGTACAGCCCGTGTACCGAACCCCACCTCGTAAATACAATACATACATTCCAGCATACAAATGTCCTGAAACTGCACTGAAACCCGTTTTGATAAATCAGATTGATATTGGCGAGATAGACCCTGACTTCCTTGACTTAGCCTACTCAATGTGGATAAATCAAAGCCAATCCAGCATTGTTCAATAAACCATGCCTTATCTGTGATATGATGACCAGTCAAACATCCCAACATACATCTGAACATTGTCCTATCCTTCAACAATCTATCCTCCTTTGTCAAAATTTCATCAACTTCTGTCAAATGTACAAACGCACTCAAAACTCACTTGCAAAAGCAAAAGCAAATGTCACTGTCAACCTTCTCCATGCACAACCACAAATTGAATGTACATAAATGATTGTTGACGACACGTCTCCAACAAATGGCTCCCCAAATCATGGAGAAAACAAGCTGGATTTTGTTYAGGGCAGACAGTAAAATCAGAACCTCAGGGCCCATATGCTTAATGCTATACATCATTCATATGCAATTTAGTCCCTCCAATGACATAACGTGTGACATGTCATCACCCTTACCACCCAGCATTGTCAAAACACCTAAATATCCACACCACAACCTTACACCAACGATTGAACAAGGTCCTGATTCACCTTATGAACCTTCGACAAACTTTGAAAACAAACCATCAATGTTGGTTCTTCACAAAATCTACTGAATATACCATCAACACTGAAAGTATATACCACAAATATTTCAACCACAGTCAGAGCACAAATCAACATGGGTGTTCTCCAATTGGAAAAGTACACAAAATAAAGTCTGCAGTGCATTTATTGTCTTGATCAATAACCAACCCATCTTCAGCAAACAATCAGCTATYGAAATACTTCAATCCTTAGCCAAAAACAGTGTCACCACCTTCGACATCCAATTTGCCCAGTTGCCAAAGCTACAAGTATTTGACGATGGAAAGAAGATGATGAGTATAACTTACATGCACCAAMKSACAAATTCAACACAACTGCCAAAATCAACTTCACGGCTTTACGTGTCATCACTACACTGCAAACAGGTATCCATGTCCCATCTCACCTYGTTTYGGATGAAATGATATGACTTGCCATCAATGCCCTTACATTGCAAACAACTACTACTAAAGAAGAAGAGGCACTTGGTCATTTCACACATCAAAAGCTTCAGAAACTTGATAATTGGGATGAC